CTTCGGCAGCCTATGAAATAAGAAGGCGAAAAATTAAAACTGAAAATAATTTACTGTATTATACCTAAATTAACAGCAGGAAGGTACCGAGGAGATTGGCACAGCGGTAACACTTTAGGTAGGCCGCACACCGGCATGCGTCAAGACACGATGACTGCGTCATGACGCAAAGAAAGAAGCACAGCTGAAACGAATGAGATTATGAAAACCGCCGCACACCGGTCTGAATCATGATGCTGACGAATCACGAATAAAGAAAGACTGCGTCTTTTGTCCTACGTCCTGTTTCTCGTCTTGACGCAGTTGGTGTGCGGCCGCCCTTGGACTCTCATTCGGAAGGTTCTCGGTTCGAATCTCAGCTCATATATCTCGTATACTGATTTTCGTGGTTTTATTCAAACTTTCCAGGCAAATGAGCTGTAACCTCAGAGTGAATGTAGCGCCCAGTAATCTGGAGATCGCTACGTCATTGTTACAAAGTTACTAGATCTTGTTCTTAACATGAGATGTGATCTCCTGAATTCCATACCAAGCTCTTACTGAACACACAGGGCATTTTCTGTAAGGGTTCCTACTCGAGGGGTGACCTACCCTTGAAGTTTTTACAAATTACCACATGAAGAGTAAGATTTTCTGGGTTGTAACGCCGTGTAGTTGAGAGACAAACGTTTCGAAAGAACATATCACCTCCATCTTCAAGGCCGAAGAGTCAGCTACGCGAGGAAGAAGCTTACCGGTTACTTCTACTGGTTTCTTGCTTGGCTTAACTCTTTGACCCTGAAGATGGAGGCCATAAGTTCCTTTGAAGCACTGACCTCTCTCCGAACTACACCGTGTTACAACGCAGAAGACCGCATTCATCATTCGTACCGCCATGAAAACCCAAATTCCAACAGAAATTTCCACACGATTTAATACACAGAAAGTGGAATTTTTCTGGCGCCACTGAGTCAACCTGCTCGGTACCGTGTGGCTGAATGTCCATGGAAAACAGTCGCCTTCTGCAGTGTGATTATGTTCTAGACAGATCATCAGTAGCGGTGCAAGGTGTGAACTGGACACAGCTTGAAGTTGTGTCACCGAAGCCGTGTGAAATTTCAGGTTTGGTGATTCTTGGCTTATCTAATGTTACGTGGTGATCTCTGAATTATCATTAACTGGAAAATGGTTTTGAAGTAAGTGTTGTCATCTGTTTTAGGGTAGCAGAGCACCACATACCTCGATGGGTCAATAAATACCACAGATGATTCAGTCAGTCAGTTTCCCCAAGATTCACGGAACACGAGTGAAACGAAATATGACTGAGTGTAGACAGGGTATGTCGGTTATCTGTAAAGTTCTCCAGCCTGTCAGACTGCTTCAACCTCGAGCAGAAATGGCTTTTTCAGAACTGGTTTAGCAGAGCAGCCCAGGGAATACCCAACACATACGGTAATCAGGGCTGGAAATGAGGGTAGATGAGGGTTGACACCGTCTGGTTTGTTTCAGGGTGCTTCATTTTCAGCAAGATATATCCAGGGCCCCCCTCCCTGACCCATATTTGCAGCCTCCTTTTTAAGCAAGGTTTACCTTGACTCCCCCCCCCCTCTCAACAAAATTACGTCAGGGGGTCACAGTTTACAGCTGCCCAGGTGACCGGGGTGCAGTGCAACAACCTACCCTCTCTACAAATGCAAATCATGTAAGGGGAAAGAACTCAAATTTGTGTTATTAATTTTTTTAATGTTTTGTTTAGTTGATTTTTGTATTGAGTTTATGTTTTCATTTATTAATAAATATCTGTAAGAGTGTGTAATTACTGCTTTACTTAGCTCTCCTGCATTTTCTTTGTCAGTTTAGTAATTATAGGGCATGGAATGGTTTGTAGGAACAATATTATGCTTGGGGTAAATATGGGTTCGATTTATGACGGCTCTCCAGGAAGCCTTCCAGCTTCCGACTGTTTTAACGAAATCGTCACGGTAACGTTTACTCACTGTCATTGAATTAACGCTCTGGGTGTGTATGAAGAAGGCTGTTCGTAATGGAGACACTCTATTTTCCGCAGAATATGAACTGAAATTTTAAATTATTTAGATGAACTTCAGGCTTCATACATTTAAGGAACATATGGTACACATCAAATGCCTGTACATAACCAAAATGCAAAATGCAAAGCATTTAAAGCAACTTAGCAAACCATGATATTCCTGTATTCTCAACTGCATATGATGCCAACTTGAAACTAATAGCCATCACTTACTGGTCAGGAAACCCAAAACAAATAGGACAGACCAGGGCATAAACAGGAGAATATTGAAACAGATCTAAAAGAAACAGGGTGAGAGGAAGTGGACAAGACTCATCCAGCCCAAGAAGCAATCTAGCAGTAGGTTCCTGTAAATATGGTAATAAACCTATAAGTTAAATAAGAGGCAAGGGTTTCTTGAACAGCTAAGCAACTACAAGCTTCTCGAGAACGGCTTTTGGTACACCAAACAAGTTAAAAGGCTGTTTGTTCGACATGAATGAACAGTTATGTTTGTACATAAAAACTGTACTGGGAAAAATAATAAAATTATTTACCCTAAAACTTTTGGTGGGGAAAAAATGTTGTCTTCTAGTTAAGATATATATGCATGGCCACCAGCAGAGAATTGGGAGGGAGGGAAGCCTGGCATGTCCCTCCCTTCCAAACAAAAAAAAATCAAACCTGAAAAAAATTAAAATAGACCAAATACTAACACCAAAAATAAAATTATTTTTAAATATGAATTTGTGTAAGATGTTACACAGAGAGCCACAACTTTAGGGCAATGTGTAAAATATTCTCAAATTACTTAAATAGTAAATATGTAGGCAAAGTTTTTGGTTCCCCTCCTCCACTGGAAACAATTCTGAGAACTCATGTACATATACTGTGATAATTCCTCAGCACAGTGACAAACGCAAGAGAACCAGTCTAGCGATATTGTGATAAGATCCCTCCTGTTCTATTTCTGAATGACAACTATTTTAAAAATATTTTTACTATACAGAGCAAGTACTTGAGCTGTGGCCATGCTGTTTATGTAGTTTGGGGACTTAAATTACATTAATCGAACATCACTACAATGTTGCACACGTGGCCCAACTGAGCAAGTTGTGCGTTTAATCTAATGATTAGTGGAGAGTTAAAATGCAGGTGCCAACCCTACAGCAAATGATTTAAAATCCCTTATTCCTGGATAAATGAACTGTTACCCCTACAAATTCAACTGCCAACCATGTAGTACTGAGTGGCCCATGGTAAAAGTACAAATCCCTTTATTGTTGTTGGAACTTGCATTTTGTTGTACACCACACCATGGTAAGGGCAGGCCACACCACAGCTCAAGCATTTAGTTGCTGGCTTCCCACCGGGGCGGCTCAGGTTTGATCCCGGGTCTGGTCAAGTGGGATCTGTGGTGTACAAAGTGGCACTAGGTTTCCCCTGCCAAACTTCATTCCACCAATTGCTCCACCATCACCCTCACCTACCATCTGGGGCTGGTACAATAGGCCAGAAGTGGCCGCAGTACAAGGGACTAAGTCACACCCCACTAGCAAACAAAAATATATCAGGGTTACGCTATATTCATCTAGCTCAGCATTGGGAGGGGGTGGGGGACCAATGAATCTTTGGATTCCATTAAAAGTGAGAATGTTTTGACTTGGTAACTACTATTAGCTTGTCAAGGCCTCTGCTGTGTGGTGTCTTAGTAAATATTACTACAAGTTAATTTGGATACTTAGAGACATTCTCATACAGAATGAGTGTTCACAGATTGCTTCGTTTTGGCACGGTGACTTGTCTCTACTGTTATACAAGTATCTACAGAATCTCATTCAGCTGTACCACCAATATGCTGTTAAATGTATGCAACTGAAACATATTTCCAGCAATAAATGTCAAAATCATTTTACCTTGATTTCATGGTACAACACAGCAAAACTGAATCTCCACTGCATATGGTTGTATGTCACAAGGCTACTAAAATAATGGTAATCACAAAAAGTGTTAACTCTGGCAGTTCAAAGATCAATTAGAGCAACAGCAGCAGTCAATTTAATTGCTTCACTGTTTTTGTCTGCCCAACAGCAGGAAAAACAAACTGATTCCAGTGGTGACAGGAAATGTTTCATTCACAAATAATTCAAGTTCAGACAAATTCAAGAATCTTATCTCCTTGAAGAGTAGCTGAAAAGCTTTGAATTTAATATCACATATCACGTGGAGATCAGGAAACAGTGTTCTCAGATTGGATACTGTTCATGAGGAACGCAATAGGACAGTCGCACAACAAATCAAAAAGAAACAAAACTGATAGTATTGTGTGAAAACTTTTTATTTGTTGTTGCTGGTATCGCTACATGTTTCAAACCTTTTCTTTGATCATCTTCAGACATACATGAATACTATTTAGCTTCTGAACTGCATCATTAATCAGTATGAATTCATACTGTGTCCATATGATTATTCTATACTGACAATTATATCTTAATTTTAAAATGTATTATATATGTAATATGAATTCATATTGATTAATTATGCAATTCAGAAGCTAAAGAGTATTCGTGTATGCCCAAAGATCACCCAATAAAGGGGTCAAAACATGTAACCATACCACCAACAATGAATAAAAACAAATGTTGACATGGTGTCTATTTTGTTTCTTTTTGATTCTTTGTTGTACGACTGTCCCAAATTACATCTTCTTCGTAAATAAAATACGACAGGATGCAGACCACTAAGCACGAGGAACTCCACAATAATTCCTCTGCGATAACGAGTGACGCAGCCCCCCAACCCCCAAACACACAGCTTCTAGGAAATTTCAAGAACTGAACTGGAGAATCTGACAAAAACAGGGAAATAGGCCGACGTTGGCCCCTGTTACCTGTCTTCATCAGTGCTCCAACTCAAACTCAGGACTGTGACAGAGTTACAATCTGTGGGCAGGTGCAGTAATGTAAGTTTACTCTAATCCAGACACGTAGAATACACGTTTCCTTAATAATGTATTTACAACTTTACATTAAAAAAACTGACACTTGACTAAAACATGAGCAGCAAACAAATGAACACACATGCAAATATACACAGATTTGGAATTCATTGCACCTGTCTATCAAAACACTTCCCTTACTAATACAATATCAGGTTGGTACTAAAAAAGCTTCAGAACCAACACACACATGCGAGTATGCATGTGCACGCCACACACACACACACAAATTTAATGAAGCACATCTTCTGGGTTGGAGTAGGATACAAGATACAAGAAATTGCATCTACATGAGCAACAGGAAATAGAAACATTAATCATCCCTGCTTAGAATTAAATTATGGACAAATTTTGATCCACATATTTACAAAACATTTAAACAGTATTTAACCATCCCATAAAGTCACGAGGTGGAGTGACAAAGTCACTCCATTTGATCCTTTCACACCCACATCTCAAACTGTCAAACTGGACTCCCATCTTCAGCTGTTCAACCTGCAGCCAAGCACCATCACTATGTACACCTGAACATTCTGAACACAACTTTCCACACCTTGGCATAATATGAACAAAATTTTGGAATTCACTAAGAAAGTTACCAAAATTGCCATCTGTGTAACATAATGGACAATTTTACAAATGCCAGAATAAGAACAGAGAATATGAAATTTTGATACTGAATTAGCTTTTCAACCTTTCTCCTTCGCATTTACTTAAAAGAAAATGTTGTAAATTACAAGAACGAGGAATTGGTCTGCAACACTTCACGACCATGAAATTTTGGCACTGTTACAATTTGAGCAATGCACCTCGGTGGGACGGGCTTGAGCACAGTGGCTCTACAGTTTGCCCACGAAACACAACACAGTGAAGTCTCACTAGGGCTGAGCCCAGTTATACATAATCATTGGTTCCGGGACTCGTAAGTGGCTCCTGGGCCTGCAACACAAAGACATTACATTCACACACATTTCCACTGCATTTAATTAAATAAATGTCGTACCACAACTGGCGCCAATGAAACCTGCAAGAATTTGACATGAATAAAGTCTGCTGAATTTTCAAAAGAAAACTGTCCTGGTCTTTACCATCATTACTTAATTTGCACTATGAAATCTACTGGCACGGCAATTTATGTACACTTACAACAAGTTGTCGCTATAAAAACAAACTCTGTCAGACATTTCTAACCTCAGTAATTTTAGAAGTTCTGGAAAGGCAGTTACAAATACTAACACACTAAACTTAATACAATAAGAATATGCTCTACATGATGCCTAGAGGTATGCCATGAACTTTTCTTTGGCAAAGGTGGAGGGACTCAGGCATGCTTTCAAAGCCATTTACTGCTGCCATTTTGTGCCCCTACTTATAACTACCACCAATTGTGGCTGCTAACACACATAACAATGGAACAGCAAGCACTAGCCATTCATGTATAAGGGTAACACTTTTCTTGAGAAATCAGAAAAACTGGGAATTATATTTCAACTGATCCACTCCATAAGCAAATGTATGTAGACTCACCACAGGTTCATAGAGTCCCTGCTGCATTACAGCATTATGACAGGCATGTAAACAAGTTGCAACAAGGGGTATAAAGCATTTTACAGTATTACATTGCTATCAAAGTTTATCCATATTCACAATCTACACACACTTTGGTTTGGCACAGTGCACAACTAATGACTTCTTCAACCGACACAGAAAATAAAAATCAGTCTTTAGCCATAACAGCTGAAGTGACATCAAGAAAAACACAACTGTTCATAAAATGGGGCTAAACTGACACATGAACTCATGGTTAGAATACGCCTTCAAGTTTCTGTAACAATGCTAGGTTCCAGCATTAGAACTCATGACTGACGTTCTGCTGCCGCCCAGAACACTAACAAAGTGCAACGCACATGCCTTCAAACCAACTCTGATAAACATTCTAGTGCGAGATCAGTTTCAGAAACATCATTAATGGAGGACAAGGCTTAATCTATAGTGATTCTTAGAGAGGGACACACTCAAAATGAAAGCAGCAAGACTTTCAAATACTGATCATGGCCAGATGAACACAAAAAGGGAGGCAGATACAGTATAAACAAACTGAAAAGCAGAAGATTCAAAATGCACCAATATTTCAAAAATTGGTTTTGGTTCTTGCCTCACTGTCACTGTTAATGCATATGAACAAGAGTCTAAGCAGCTGCATAATGAATCAGCTGGTGATCTGCTGTATCCCATCCATGAGAACATCCAGACATGCCCAGCTACAGCACCAGAATTCTATGTCCAAATCATCGGAATTTGTTCAAAGGCAAAAACTGTTTACAATCTTGGCTGGAATCCACTAGTCAACCTACAACCCCTGCACTTTGTCTCCAGCGCTCAAGCAGCTATAACAGAAATATATGAAGCCAGAGACAGTGCATTTGCACTTCAGTCCCCTATTGACATTCAACTTATTTTATCATTCTCACTTATTAATATTATTATTTACAGATCTGAAAGAAACTTCATATTAGAACTTTTCAGCATAACCCAAAGCTGGTATACCATTAATCAAAGATGAGGGATACAAAAAATGAATTTGCATTCAATAACTGATTACTATCCTTGATACCTGATCTCTCTACTAGTGATAATGTGAAACATGTTATATGGTAAGAGTGTAGTTTCAGGAGCTATTTAAACTACACAGTTGACATGGTGTTGAATACTTAATCAGCTAAGAAAGAATCTGTCAGTTAGGTGATAAAAGACGTGACTCCATTTGAGAGAAAGAAAGACAGCTTCAGACAACTGCCAGGCAGAGTGAGGGGTCAGAGTACCAACAAACTGGGCGGAATTCATGTGAATGCCAAGCTTCAGACTTGGAAAATATGACCCTGACCCCTGTCTATGTCCTGTCACCTTGCTAATAGTGGAGTGGACTTCGCAAACCATGATGATAAGTTTAGCTGGACATGAATGGAAAATGTATTTCTCAAATGTTTCTGTATTAATAATACGAACTTCTGTATGAAACTGATGAATGATAAATTTCACGATATNGTGCCTACCCCCCCCCCCGGCTGCCCTTTGAAAACTGAAAATGTTGCTGGAACAAGAAAATACAAGCAGAAAAATGTGACCTGTGTGAAGTTCAAGAGAGATAAACACTAAGAGAATGTATAAAGAGGCACAAGATAAGGTGCGCAAAGTTCTCTTTATCTTGAGTACAGAAGCTGACAAACACCTGCATGTTGCAAGGATGTGAGCAGACAGCCCTAAAGAGTCCAATCCACTATTTGCTATAACCTCTAAAGCTGCAAGCAAACATTTGCTACCCTGAGTCATGTCTGTTCTTGTAAGTGCTTCAAACTAGCTCGCAATAATTGACTGATAAACCACTGAACTGTTTCAATCTGTGGTGCAGCATCCAACACAAAATATGCCTGCTTGGTTTCAGAAATGCAGATGCAATAATACTCCCCTTCCAAGTTCCAAGTAACAAAGGATCCTAATTAATTTTGACACTTAACCATTTCCTATCATCTGTCAGAATGCTTCTGATATTGTTAATTTTCCTGTACATGTCCACTGCACAAGCCTTATGACACCTTCATGAATTTTCAACTTGATTTGCCCAGTAAATAAAATCATTCAATGAAATTCAGATCTTGTGTTTTTATTACACTCACCTGATTCAATGAGACTACTGGGTGTTTTTAGTTGTTACTTTGTGAATCAGTTAAAATTTTCAAATCCACATTTGCCTCAAAGCATAAACTTGCAAATGGATACATATTGTGACATGTCACTGCATTGCCAGGCAACGGCTCAGTAAACATCCCATGAGACAAGCACGCATCAATTGCACAACAGGGTTATGCAACCCACTTCTAGGCAACGGCTCAGTAAACACACTTCCACGCAGGCGCAACGAAGTCTTATACCAAAAGTGCTTAGCTATCATGTGAGTTAGTGTTTTATATGTGGTCTGCGCTATGCAACAGTAGAACTGTGTTTTCTGTGCTGTCCGTGATGTAGCTTAGGAGAGTTCTTAGTTGGGTTCAAGGATGATTGAACAATATATGGCAAGAAGACTTCATAGTGATTTGAAGTGCTAGTTTCCGTGTTGAGCTCCACTGCTAGGAGACAACCAGTGAAAACTGAGAATCCTAGTGTGTGCAATGATTAACTGTAAATTGTGTAAATCAGTGATAATGCTGTATTAAGTGTGATTAAGAGAACCTGTAACCGACGTGCTGTCAAATCCAATGATCCGATCTGTATAACCCATTATTTTTGTTACATGTACCCCCTACACGAAACAATATGAACCATAACTACTAGCAGTAGACCAATCAGCTGCTGTGCTAATGATAAAACTTTAAAATTCTGGTACTTTGGTTTCTGCATTACTGTACTGTACTCAACAGGGTTAAAAAATCTGCACACATTTCGTACAAATTTTGTTCTCAAACTGTTCCAGAAGAAACAAATTCCACTTTGATACATAAATGTCTTTCAGACCAGTAAATGTTTTCCCTTTGTGCCTTTCTCGAGACTGCGAATTACTGAAATCACAACATTTTCAGGTTTGTACCTCTAGACTATTCACGACATCAGACGATCTGTACTGTTTCATGATGTCACTTGCTTCAACCACAAGACATTCATGCCTCAGTTGTACCTCATTTCAGATGAGAATGCTGACGTATTAAGCAGTTCTTATAAAACAACTCTGAAAGCACTTACACTTTGAAACCATTTCAGGCCAAAAAAAAAAGCCTGAAAATGTCCACACACTGAAACAGTCCCCTGTGAAGGAACCTGAAAGTGTGAGATCTGAGGTTCAAAACCTAAAAATACCCACATATTCAAAGTTGTGGCTGAATGAGCCTGAAAATGCCATTTTCATATACTGATGTGCGAGCTAGCCTGCAGATGGCAAATATGCAATTATCTGAGGATGCAGCTGTCCATAGCGAGTGCCCTCACCTCCTCTCCAACTGTGGCCGGATAGATTCTCTGTGGCTGGTACTGGTTCTTCTCCAAGGAAAACTGATCTTCAGTTGTCTTGCGATAAACTGGGTTATCAAAGTTCATACTTGTCACGTTTCTGTGAAGGTAATGGCGATACACGACAAACGCAATCTGTAACACAGTGTTTAAAATTGACTTAGGACTTGTACATTGTGGCAACAAGAACAACCCACAATAGGATCCTCAAAAACATAAACTCAAAGGATGAAGACTTCAAGACAGGATTCCAAAATGACAGCAAGGTTGATTTTATAATACCAGAGAACAAAGGGCAACTTAACTAGAATGGATCTTTGCAGTAACTGATTTCCATGTAAAAGATGTGTTAATGTTATGCAGTAGACCTTCATTATACTGCAACTTTGATCATGTCCCCCAGTACAATCACATATAGTTTATGTCATACATATTTTGGTGAAATATTTTAGTTACCGTCTAAGGACGGCCACACACCAAATGCATGAAGACATGAGACAAGGAACACAGTCTTTCTTCATTCGTGGTTCAGACTCAAGTCTGCACACTGATGTCTGCAGCTTATCACATCTTCTCTAGTTGATGACATGACGTTGTTCAGTGAGGAAGATATTCTAATGTACAGGTAGCAGAACAAGTACACTTTAACATAAATCTTCTCATTTTGTGTGTGAGTGAGAGCAGACTTGTATGAAAGAGCTTATGCTCAATGTGTATAATAGTGAATTCAGTCATTAGCCCATTAAAATAAAATTAATCAGTGCACTTACCATCTATGTTTACTTCTTTTGAAACTGCATGCCAAGCTTTATCAACCTCCTCCTTGTCTGAGTGGCCCAGGGGACAAATAATCATATATTACAGGAAATTTCTCAGCCATCTGCACTATTTTAATATTTATTTGTTCTTCACTCATCTTCAGTAACATACACTGGTGCTGTTCCTTGAGTGCTGATGTCTATTCTTAGCATAGAAAACGAACATGCTGAGTCATGCTGCACATGTCAACGGCATCATGACTCAGACCGGTGTGCGGTGTGCAGCGGTCTTCATAATCTCATTTGTTTCAACTGTGTTCTTTTCTTTGCATGTGTCTTGACTGTTACACATCTTGATGCCGGTGTGCAGCGTACCTAAAGCTGTAGTGTGCAGCTATAGAGCATGAAGTCTACAGTCTGCTATAGATAGCATGTAATATGTTTGCAGCTTCTCTAACCTTTGGATTACTTTGTTCCAGCAGAAAAATTGAACTGTTGACCAGAGCCCAGAATGTACCTTAAATTTCATCTCAGTGTATAAATACCATATACATAAATAATAACATGGATTAAAAAATCAGATTGTTAGTTTCCCTTAGGGCACATCCACATTTCTCGTGCTTGTCGGGAGACTCCTCTGGCTTTTACTTGTGCTCGTAAATCTTTGTCCATACTACTTCAGTTGCTCGCCAGGCTTCAGCGCATGAGGATCCATATATTTACTCATAGTGTGCATAGGCTGTAGTCATATTTTAATTTATTGGCCATAGTTTTTAAATTAAAAATTTAAAATTTTGTCTTGTGACTTGTCATATCATCCACATTACTCACAAGCATAGCAAGTCGCACGAACACAAGTAATGTGGACGCACCTTTACAACACCGGTACTGAGCCTATCCCAACACTCGTCTTACTGCATGTTAATTCAACCTTGGGAATTCCTACTACAATAAGATCTTTTATTATGCAGTACCTTGCTTTAATCAGCTCAGTGCTTTTGCCACACGTTAGTTACTTCACGATCAGAGCTGCAATGGCTGACACTGAGTAGCAGTTGCCATTATGGTTCAATATGATGCTGACAGTGGATTTTGTATATGACCCACACAAGGTCACAACTTCTAGCACATAAAGGTATTACTAAAGTTGGGTCTTCAGAATCCCTTCCAAACTGTAAATCTGTCAAAAATATTGTCTCTTTACTGAATGGGGGCTAGGCTAGAACACACACATCTGGGAGGTCTTACCCCATGTAAATTCTGTTTGCGATGTAATTAAAAAAAAAGTGTTTAAAATGAGCCCCCATACAGAAGTTGAAGCAATTTTAGAAATTACTCTGAAGATACTGGAGCCATCAGCACAAAAAAGTAAATTACATTTTAATGAAACACAAAAAATATGCAAGAAAAAGAAAAATAAGTCATGAGGAATTTGGCTGCAGCAAGCTCAGTCTGTCTAAGTGAGCAAACATTATCACAGCAACTCTTATAATCAAAGTAAACTGCTTTTACTGAGATCTGAGAGGGTAACATCACTGTCCAGTGCACAGAAACATTAAACTAAATAAAAAAAAGAAACTATAAAGACTTTCACAAGGCAAAGGTTTCACCAGCTGGTCTTATGAATGACACAGTTACCTAATGACCTTTCATTTTAGAAAGTCATATATATATTAAAATCAAATAAAAATGGGCAGTAGTTATGGAATTAGAAGGGAAAAGTCATGGTCTACTTGAGAGGATTGTCCCTGCAGGTGCATGAATGGAGAAGTTCCCAATGAAGGCAGGCAAACAAACAAACAAACAAACAAACAAACAAACAAACACCCACTCATGGAGCTCGGACCTTCTTGAGAAGCTGACAATTGTGCAGCTACTCAAAAAATACCCAGCATCTTATGGAATCTGGAGGTTCATTACGGCTTTCACAAAAACCCTCCACTGGTCCCTGTTCCAAGCCAGATTAATCCAATCCATACCATCCCACTATCTAAGATCCATTTTAATACTGTCCACCCACCTACACCTTGGTCTTCCCAGTTGTCTCTTTCCTTCCGGTTTTCCCACCAATATACTATATGCATTTCTCTTCCCACCCATTCATGCTACATGCCCTGCCCATCACATTCTCCTTGACTTGATCATTCTAATTTTACATGGAGAAGAGTACAAGTTATGAAGCTCCTCATTATGCAGTTTTCTCCAAGCTCCTGTCACTTCATCCCTCTTCGAGCTAAATATTCTTCTCAACACCCTGTTCTCAAACACCCTCAGTCTATGTTCCACACTTTATATCAGGGACCAGTTTCACACCCATACAGAACCATAGGCAAAATTATAGTTTTGTATATTCTAATTTTTATGCTTTTAGACAGCAGACGAGAAGAGAAAAGGTTCTGGATTGAATGGCTGCAAGCATTACCCGAGTTCAGTCTCCTCTTAATTTCCTCCTGAATCAGGTTTCGGTTTGTTACAGTCATTCCCAAATATCCGAACTGTGCCACATTTTCAAAACATCTGTTGACTATCTTTATGTCATGATTTTGCCCTACATTCTGGTGACGAGACTGCAACATATACTCAGTTTTCTCTGTGTTCACTTCTAGCCCAACTTCCTTACTAACGTCGATTAAAGTCTGTTTTTTTTTTCTTTATGGTATCTACATTATCACCCAGCAGATTCAAATCTTCAGCACAGACCAACAGCTGATGTGTCCCACTAAATTTCAGTCCCTGGACCTTCCTACTGGCAAATTTTAAAGGAAAGGTGAAAACGAGTGGTGATAAACAATCTCCTTGTTTTAGAACATTCTGGATAGGGAAATTATAAGGCAAATCTCTACCTGTCTGGACTTTACCATATGTTTCATTTAAACACATTTTAATCAGCCTAACTAGTTTCATGGGTATCCCAAACTCTATCAGAATATTGTACAATACTTCCCTCCTAACTGAACCATAGGCTTCTTGAAGTCTATGAATAGCTGATGTACTGTCTCATCGTACTCCCATTTTTTCTCCAATATCTGACAAATGCAAAAGATCTGATCTGTAGTTGATCTGTTATGTCGAAACCCACACTGATGATCCCCAACAGTTTCATCTATGTATGGACTTAACCTTGAGAGAAGAAAATTGGATAAAACTTTGTATGAAGTTGGTAGCAGCGATATCCCTCGATAATTACTAGTCGGTTTTATCACCCTTCTTGTGAACTGGTACAATAACAGACTCCTTCCACTGATCAGGCAATTCTTCCTTATTCCAAATAGAATGGAGTAGCTTATGGACCTTAGAGTGCAATATTTCACCTCCTGCTTGAATCACTACCTGACGATTTATACATAACCCAGAAGCAAACATGAATCTTCACCACTGTGAACACCTCATATCATACAAATGAGATGTAGTTACTAACTGCAGGTAAAACATAAAGTTGTCCCTCTGCTTAACTAATTAAGCACTACACCATGAAGGCGTATGGGGGAGTGGATGTACAGATCCACATTTTCTTTACCTCAGTACCAACTGAATGGAGGAGAGTGGTCCAGCTTCATGCCACGGATGCTTTACCCCCAGGAAAGAGATCATACTACCCATGAATTGGGGGTTGGGTGGACCCCAGAACCAATCTGGGCGACATGTGGAAGAGAAAATTAATGATCCTACCAGGACTCAACTCCCACCCCTTACTCGTCCAGCCATAGCCAGTCGCTATACCCACTACGCGCTCGCTATCCTGGCTCTGGAAATGAATAAGGGCAAACATAATGATAATGACAGTACAGACATTGCGTCTTACTTAAACATCGTTCTGATGTAGGTTCATAACTGATGGAAACTAACATTCACATCACAGCATGGCAATGGTCACGATCCTGAGTCAGTCTCTCTAATATCAATCTCAATGTTATCCTCCAAGTGGTTTCAACTTTAACTGTCTTTCCCTATCTTGGCTCCACAACCAAACTGTGAGTCCGAGAATGAATTGGACATTCTTTAACAGGTCACACATAACCCACCTAATTTTTACTGGCCTTTCTGGGGTATTTTCCTTTCATATAATGCACATTTTAGGCATTAAATAAAAAATACATGTATAGTTTCCGTTTGACTAAAAGCCACAAGCTTTCGCCTTTCAATCTACAGCAGCTGGACTAGGGGAAGCATTACAGTTAACACGTTTGAATAACGCACACGTTCCGTAACAAATAAGAAACGTCTGTGCCAACAATTTAAATTATCAAGTAAATCGAGATACTTACAGAAAACTGTCCTATATGTAAAATGTTTAATTTGTTCTGCAACTTCTGTTTAAAGTTTTTCACTCTGATAAACATTTACAGTTATTGCCAGAAATGAATGTCTTCATGTGATATGTCCGTTAGTGCTGTGAAATTCTGATGAAGATTTTGAAGTAGACAAATTTCCGTACGGCTTCGCAGTATGGACTGCAATGACAATTCGTTCGGTCGTACGTGGTATGGTACATCTGGGGTGGTGGGAATAAACAATGCAAAGCTAACGTCACAATTCCGACTCACCAGGGCTGCCAGGATGAGAACCACAATGCCCACAGCAATGACGATGCCCGCCACCAGACCGCTTTCCTCGTCCACGTCCATGGGGGGTTCGATGAGCTGCGTCACATTCGTGATGCCCACTGTAACAGGCAGAACAGTCGTTGCACTGAACCCCATTGAAATACTTCGAGCTTCCTCGCTGAATGACTTTCAAATACACATGCAAATCAACACTTCTGTTCCTCTTTCCACGGGAGAAAACAGATGAGCTTCAAGGTCCTTCCCCACTTCATTTTTTGCCAAGACTGGTGACGTCGATCTGTATTGCCTGTTATGAAAACATCGTAACTCATTGAAGGACTTCATCGCAATGTCCACAAAGCAAAGAGAAGAATTATTTTTTGTGTGTTCTTTGGAGATGTCAATAACAGGCTTTATAGCATTGAATGATTGGGTGATTTATGAACTGGAAAAGAATTTGCAAGAAGCGGTAACGGCCTAATCTCGGTACTACCCTTGCACTTACCTGCAGGGACTGAGTAAAACCACAAAACCGCCTCCAACAGTATAACCGGTGTCCCAACCGAAATTCGAACAAGTGCCACCGAAATACGAGCCTAAAACGTTACCTCTGCATGATCCTGCTTGGCCAGAACGGTAATGATGCAGTAGATGGGAAATAACTGAGAGAGTGGAGGGCAGAACGAAGTGGAGAAATAGGCTTGGAAGGATACAAATCATCTAAATAATACGACCGATGCTGAAGAGTACTCTAGAATGAACGCCGCGTAGCCCAGTAAAATTTCTCCTGCATTCGTTGCTTTGCATGCTATTATACCCTGAGAACTAATGTAGTAGTTCCTCCGAAACTTTGGCGGGCTGTCGAAATACACGATGTCACATCTCAGATAACGTACCACCAGGAAAACATCAAAAACATGGATTATGTTTTTGGCCCTGTCAGTAGTCCTGAAATATTATCAGTCATGTGATGTATGTGTGCTTCCTTTTGGCGCACGTGAAATGGCCTCCCAACACACATCACACTGTAGCAATATAGTAGTTACTGTACGACAGCTATGTTGCCAGATTGCGGCTGGATGGCTGCCATGTTGCTTCTCTGTTAGAGAAACAATCTTTAAATCGAGAAAGATTTCCTTATTTCTCAGAACAAAATGTTACTATGTTGAGCTCTCTTGGTGGCCGACTCTCAGCTCTTACATTCTTACACCAAATCCACACTGTGTAAAGTAAGCAACAGCTGCATTAACACCAACAAAATACTTACGTAATTCCATCTACAGAGCTGTCTTGCAACATACGCCATTTGCAATTCGTCTCGTCAAGAAATTCTCACCTATCTCCTTCGTATTTCGGATGTTCGGGGTACAAATCGCAGTTCAAAGGGTCGGTTATCCTGAAAGCCCTCGTCGTTTTGATCAGTGTCTCCGACCAAATGACGGCCTATCTCAAATTAGACCACAGCAAAAAGCATTGTAAAGTAAAGTCATTGAGTCTGACATCCCACGTCCGTAACATCAAGTCCAGTGACCGTTGCTTAGGCCGTGCCACACCTCAGAAGTACGTAACATTTCGCAATATGGCGGGATGCCGTGCCAATGGAGCAGCATAGACTGAACACTGCACCTTACTCTTCTGATTCTCAACGGTACTGACTTCCAGCAATTACATCTTTCAGGCATAGTGGTAACTATATATACCATCAGCTTTAACATAGAAATTCTACATCTTGTCCACATGGTGTATTTCCATGTTCCATAAAATTCTCACAAAAACAGTGATTATTTCCCCACACAGCATTAACTACTTTGCAATGTTTTCTGTGAATTATTTTTCTCACTCACTCACTCACTCACTCACTCACTCACTGATGGAACTGAGCCATTCTTGAGAAGCTGCAAACTGTGCAGCTCCTCAGGAACTTCCCAGCATATTATGGAACCCCATGGTTAACTACTGTGTTCACAAGAGCCCTCCACTGGTCCCAATTCTAAGCCAGATAAATCCAATCCATATCATCCCATCCTATCTCTCTCACATCCATATTTATATTGCCCACCCACCTATGCCTTGGTCTTCCCAGTGGTCTCTTTCCATCTGGCTCTCCCATCAATATTCTTTATGCATTCCTCTTCTCCCCATTCGTGCTACATGCACTGTCCACCTCATCCTCCTTGACTTGATCATTCTAATTATACTTGGAGAGGGGGCACACGGTAGCATAGTTGGTTTATGCACAATGCTACAAACAAGAAAGTTGTGGGTTCAAGTCTCGATGAGGTCATTCGATTTTTTCAATTGACCTAATCTTCCAGTTGCACTATGGCCCTGGGGTCGACTCAGCCTCTAACAGAAATGAGTACCAGGAATTAATTAAATAATTTTCCTGGGGAGTAAAGCACGGCCGGTGTGTAAGGCTGACAACCCTACCGTCATCTTTGAGCCGATTGTCTAGATAATGTGGGACCCTCAACGTCTCACAACCCTATGGGCCTTCACGGCCTGTTACAGGGATAGCCTTACTTTACTTTTTAATTATACTTGGAGAAGAGTACAGGTTATGAAGCTCCTCATTACGCAGTTTTCTCCAACCTCCTGTCTCTTCATCCCTCTTCAGGCCAAATATTCTTCTCAACACCCGATTCTCAAACACCCTCAGTCTATGTTCCACACTTTATGTCAGGGACCAGTTTCACACCCATACAGAAGAACCACAGGCAAAATTATAGTTTTGTATATTCTAATTTTTACGTTTTTGGACAGCACACTAGAAGACAAAAGGTTCTGGACTGAATGGTAGCAAGAATTACCCGAGTTCAGTCTCCTCTTAATTTCCTCCTGAATCAGGTTTTGATTTGTTGTACTCGTTCCAAAATATCTGAACTGTGCCACATTTTCAAAACATCTGTTGGCTATTTTTATGTCACGATTTTGCCCTGCAGTCTGCTGATGAGACAGCAACATATACTCAGTTTTCTCTGTGTTCACTTCTAGCCCAACTTCCTTACTAACGTCAATTAAAGTCTGTGTGTTTTTCTTTATGGTATCTACATTATCACCCAGTAGATTCACATCTTCAGCACAGACCAACAGCTGATGTGTCCCATTAAATTTCAGTCCCTGGACCTTCCTACTGGCATATTTTAAAGCAACGGTGAAAAGGAGTGGCGATAAACAATCTCCTTGTTTTAGAACATTCTGGATAGGGAAATTATAAGACAAATCTCTACCTATACGGACTTTACCATATGTTTCATTTAAACATATTTTAATCAGCCTAACTAGTTTCATGGGTATCCCAAACTATCAGAATACTATACAATACTTCCCTCCTAACTGAACCATAGGCTTTCTTGAAGTCTACAAATAGCTGATGTACTGTCTCATTGTATTCCCAATTTTCCTCCAGGATCTGATGAATGCAAAAGATCTCATCTGTAGTTGAGCTGTTACGTCGAAACCCACACTGATGATCCCCAACAGTTTCATCTATATAGGGACTTAATCTTGAGAGAAGAATATTGGATAAAATTTTGTATGAAGTTGATAGCAGTGATATCCCCCCAATAATTATTACAGTCAGTTTTACCACCCTTCTTGTGAACTAGTACAATAACAGACTCCTTCCACTGATCAGGCAAGTTTTCCTTATTCCAAATAGAATGGAGTAGCTTATGGACCTTAGAACGTAATATTTCTCCTCCTGCTTGAATCAGTTCTGCCAGCATTTCGTCACTACCTGGCGACTTTTACCTTTCCAATTTTGCAATAGCACTTTCAACTTCAAAAGGGCTAGGATCAGGTACTAATGGCTCAGCAGTATCAATTTCTGTCTGCCTAAATCACTGACCCTATGTACATTCAATAACTGAGAGAAGTAGTTCCTCCACCTATTCAAAATGTTGTGGGAATCTGCAAGATCACCATTCTCATCCTTCACTAGGCTGGTAACCCCTCTCAGAGTCATTTCCTCTATACAAGTCTCATTCTTACTGTTTGTCCACCTATTCACAATTTTGCCTTTCAGGTATTTCCTCTTTTATTCCTGAAATGCCTGCTGGTTTCACGTCTTATACTGTTCAGATTATCCCCATTTAACTCGCTTCGGTCCTGTAACCACTGCAATTTGGCTTGTTTCCTTTGGCCTAATAATTCTGAGCATCCCTCATTGAACCATGGCTTATGCTTCTTCAGTTGATAATAACCTACTCTCTCTGACAGACCTTTTTTTTTATTCTCTCTAATAGTTTCCCAAGCTTTAATAACATCCACCTCAGTGTCTAAGATTTCCAAAGCTACAAACCTATTTGAGATTTCAACATGATACTGCTCCTTACTCTCTGCCTTGTTTATTTTCTTGAGATTGAACCTCTCCATATGACTTCTGTGCCTTGGTTGCTTACACACTGCCAGTCTTGTCCTAACCTTAGCCACCACCAGGTAGTGGTCAGTATCACAATCTGCTGGCCTGATCAGACATCAAGAATACTTGAATTCTGTCTCCTGTCCACCAAAATATGGTCAATTTTGTTGTGTGTCTTCCCATCAGGAGATGTCCAGTAAATTTATGCATGTTACGATGTGGGAACATTGTACATTTCACAGTAAGATTTTTCTATTATCATTACTAATTTTGTGTAAACTCTCATTCCTGATTGTTGGTTTCAAAATGTCTTCCCTACCTACTAAACAATAGCCTTTTCAGTTTCTCATTTTAGATATTTATCAAGATTTTATAAATGCATAATACTAACAATTGATCTTGGACATTTTGAGGATTACGATCAATTACATTTTAGTACATCTTTCCTAGAGGAGCTTGGGTAGTGAAGTCGGTATAGTGACTGTCTATGGGCTGGACAACTGAGGGGTCGGAGTTTGAGTCCCGGTAGGTTCAAGAATTTTCTCTTCTCCAAATAGTTCAGACCGGCTCTGGGGTCCACCCAACCCCCTATCAAATGGGTACCGGGAATAAAGTGGCCGGGGCATGAAGCTGACTAATCACCTCCAGCTAGTGCTGAGGTCAAGAAAATGTGGATTTATACATCCGCTCCCCCACACACCTTCATGGCGTAGTGCCTAATTCACTGAGCACAGGGCTTTTACCTTTAATAACCTTCCTAAAATATCCTGCACCTTCTCCACCAAATACACAGCCCAGCCCAGCACAGCCCCAACAGGGGCGCACATCATGGACTTTGGAAACCATTACTCTACAGCCTTTGGAAGTAGCATCAAAGTCAACACTTCTATCAGAATGACAACATGCAGACCATACAAATGTCTGATTTCCTTTTGCAATTACACTCACTTCTGTTGATACAGAATGCCTGTTAATATTAGGGTCTTCTCAGACATGTCATAGTGTTGGATTCAGCAGTAAGCCATGTAGGCTGCCTCTGTGTGGATCTCCAACACAGTCACACAGAGCAACAGACAGAACTTCATGACTGCGCCTGATTACAGACTGCACCACTCAGTCCTCTGTATAACTGAGAGTTCCTTCCACTCACCAGTCACCTATACTAAGGCTAGAAAAAGATATCCCACGAGCAGTGGGATGACAGCACTCAATTCTTCCCCCTCATACCCCATACTCCAAAATGCCTGTTGCTAACTAGCGTGCCCATGAACAGAGAAATGTTTGACAGCTGGAGGGGAGTACAGGGAAGCATAACAGCTCATGGGAGATGTGAGAGGGGTTGATCCATAGGATTTCCTTCTGAGCACGACTTAGCAGTATGATAACTTAAAGAATAACACACGTACATACACACATCAAGACTACACAACCACACTACAAGCACATATATGTGATATACACTTTGCAAATATTCTGGGCAGAATGTTCAAAATATACTAAGAGACAAGTTAGTTACTGGTACAACATAAAACATCTGTACAGATGGCATGCACATGCATCCGTTTGATGCTGGAGAACATACAACACCATCATAGGTACACTGTTTGCTATTTTGGTTCAGGTGAAGAGATTATTTTGGATTGTGACTTAACCCAAATTCCTTTTAGACCAACCAAGGATATCCCCTGCTGAAACAGTCTCAAGGTGGACTTCTCAGGTGATGTCCTTGGTGACCTAATGAAATGTGAATAACCTTGGTTGAATCTTGGAGTATAATTGAGTGATTTTTACCTGTTGCATTCGTAGGACTGGTGTGGTTCAAACTGAGGTCGGATACATGGCTTCCGTTAGTGGGGAACACAGCTGTAACAACATACTGGGATTTGCAAGCTTGCATGCTTTAAGACCATTGAATGTCTGGGTCCACTGTGGTGCTTGAGTGGCAATTCTGCACATTACAGATTCATGCGTAAGAGGGGTGATTCAACAGTTAACGCTTTTCATCTTTCATTGGACACTCTTGCATTCTGTAATGACGAGGGGACAAACCGGATAGCATAGCTTCTGCCGTCATAGCACATGTGCATCTTCTCAGGGTTACCATAAGGCCATAAACAGATCACTAAAACTTCACCATGACATTATGTGATTTTACTAACTTGTCACTGAATATTTTGACATGCATTAAATAAAATATGTTCAGAGGAGTTCTGGGGCCTCACATGGAGAGCATGAAGCTGATCACTCGCCTCTGTATAATGCTGAGGTCAAGAATCCACTTCATGTGATGCTTTGACACAGAAACTAACTTTTACTTTTTAACAACATTATCAAATTTGTTCCCTACATACTGGTATTCAGGCCAGAGCAAAAGTTGAATTCCATTGCCAGTTAGTGTGAGCAACTTCACAGTTACTATGTTCCTCTTGAAATGTTTCAACCATCAAATAAAACTTCAACTCCCTGAATGCATGACCATAAAATATCCACTACAGCAAAGCCATTTCATGTATGCTTTCAAAATAAATGTCAGTTCTAGAACAGTGTCCAACAACAAAAGCCCAAGAGGATCACACCTCCACAACAGCAATGGATAAAAACAGATAAAACCACAATATCCACGCCTGCAAGAAAACCTTCCCCAGTGCCCTCCATCCACTACATGCATCCGGAAGCAGCCTGTACTGATTTCTCTGCTTATTTTGTAACACATCAAACTGAAAGAAAAAGCTTGACATCGCATTACGTGGAGGAACAGATTACTGATGAATGAATGAAACTGACACAGTGGAAATGCTGAATGGCATGAGCTACTGTGATCAGCAGCAAACCCTACTGCCTGCACAGGCAGTATGCTCCTCTCAGATGCTGTTACCTATCTATGAGAACCTCACATTCCAATGAACTCTTGTGGGGCTGGATAATACTAGGAGCAAAGTATCTGCACTGGTGTTTTTACATTTTTATGAAAATCCTGGAGGAACATCTCCTAGTCGCCCTGTAGTTCAGACACACAGGAGCTGTTCCTTCCCTTGTTCTTGGTGTATACATCCACAGTAAACCCAGACATGTTCAGTTTTCATTTGTAGAAAAGTCTGCTTGTTACATGCTCATTACACTTGTCATGAGTGCGTCTTACAAACACTGTTGCCAACTGCCACACAATTTTAAATTCACCCATCTTATGTGGACCATACACATATAAATTCAACATCCTTACAGTTGAAATGTATTCCTGATACAAACGTGTTTACAAGCGACAGACTCAAAGTTTCTGCAGACGTGTGCAGTGAGTGCAGTTTCAGTCAGTCTATTGCAGTGGCAAAACTGTGTCCACCCAGTAAGACACACATCATTATGTCCCCTATTTTGGCACATGCAGTATAAAACTCTCCTTACGGGCAAACATGAACCCATGCATTTCAACACGTCATCACAGTACAACCAAAACATCTTCTACAGTTTGGTAACATTCCAACACTGCAGAAACAAAATCTACCTAAACCCTAAAAAAGAATCCACAAGTATCCAGCAGCATCTTCTCATGGTTGAATGGTTAATTAAGGAGGGGAAAGATTTCAGTCCCTCAGTACTGCAGCCTCAAATGGGCATACTACTATGGGCAGAGGTGAGACTGACTTGAAACAGGCCTACTGTACCAGCCCAGGTTGAGAGATTATATGAAGCACTGCTGTAATGAAAACTGGCAGAGAACATACCACTTGTGCCACTTTATTCACCACAAAATCAAACATGCACTGTCCTGTTATTGAACACAGACCTTAATATCGGCCTCCAAAGTGATAAACTGCCAACTAACCACCTGTGTCATCACACAGGTTTTTAAGTGCATATCTACAACAGTCAGGATTTTTTATTTGAAGCTATCAAATTATACCACATAAAGTATCCATTTCATCTGCCCAAAAGTATCCCTTCACAAAGTCACGTGGTATGCAGTTGCATCTGACCATTGCCCATGGTACAGAGTCTAGTACTTACTTGGGTGCGAATTTGTATTTCTGGAGGACACCCCTGATCCTGCCGCACTTGGAGAAGTTGCTGTAGTCTTGACTGTAAACAAATCCAGGCATGAATATCAACATAAACATGCAAGTGCAGACCCCATGTCATAATTTTCATTTATTTAGTAACAGTGAATCAAGTGGAGGATGAACAGCAGAAGGGTTCGGCACAAGTCTGACATTATCAGCCACTCCGACTCCTGGTGGCTGGGGGAGGGTAGTAACAGGAAATAAGCATGTTTGGTGATATCAGACCAATTTATATCAAAATTTAACAAATGCCACATAGTCCTGAGACCTTGCCTCTGAAAATGTACCACTCTACCACACACGTGATCATAACAAAGTTACACGTAATGGTGGGAAAGTAATCAGAGCCATTCAATGAAAGAACTCTCCACAAAACTCAATCCACCAGCATATTCCACTGTCTACTTTGTGTCTTGTACTATGCAAAAGGTCCACCTCAGAACTACAGATGTGTCCAACAGAACTGCAAACACATACCTTCATCTCCACACATAAGTCCATCTGCCAGCAGCCGCAGGCCATCTGGACATGCACACGAAATTTTAGGTGACCGGAAGTTGATCTGGGGTGCAGGGAGACATAAGTGTGAGCAGTGTCCATTCACCGCTTGGCAATAGTTCTCACCATCTGGTTGTCGATATGGATGATATACATGGATTACCATGGGGTTCTGCAACTGAGCCATGCCAACACGACAGTTATATCAATAACGAATTTCACTTGACAGTTTGTTCACAATGTACAAAAATAAAACCTCATGGCTACTGTACAAGGTGTGGCAATAAAGAAACCGGATTCATGCTCTAACCCTTTATTAAAAAAAAATCAGACAGTCGAAATGTTATCCCCTTCAATGTAGTCCCCTCCCCGATCCCTACACCGCTCCATGCGAATTTTCCACTGTTGGAAGCAGTGCTGCAGGTCATCTTGTGTTATGCTCTTCAAGAGTTGCGTCGCTTTTGCTTTCACTGCATCCACGGACTCGAACCTGGTCCCTTTCAGCGCAGACTTGATTTTTGGGAAGAGAAAAAAGTCGCACGGTGCTAGGTCCGGAGAATACGGT